TTCTCAGATCTTGGCCTTCTCCCCTTTCCCAACGGTTTCGCGTGGGCGTGGGCACTCCTCCGTCCCGTCGGCATGCGCGCAACGGAGGACCTTGGACCATCAGGTGAACCTGTTCCCACGGGCGAAGCAAAATAGACAAGATGCTATATCGAGCATCAAAATGATGAAATGTCTCCGCCCGATCTCCCGATCCCCTTTTGTTCGAATGACTGTCTCCCCTCCCACCCCCTTCTCTCTCTTCCTCATATCTCCAAGAATGAATCCCATCTCCACCCCCATCTGCCATCAACCTTCTTCCCTTCCTCAACCTAAACCATGCCAACGACGACGACGACGACGACGGCCGCGCTGCCCGCGCATCTCCCCCATAGAATTCACCCATGTCCCAAGCATCTGAAGAAAGACGGGTGGTTTCCACAAAAAAGGCGATGCTCTCTGCTGCCCCAGTCCGTATTAATTTGCCAAAGGGGGGCCCGCTGGCCAGCCGAGCCTCACATTGCACGTTCGTGTTTCCGTTTTGGGCGCAACCGTCTGGGACACATTGAAAGAGGCATGCTCATATTTGCTCCTTCTAAATTCTGCTCCGTCGCCCGAGCAATGCGGGAGAGAACGTGACGCCAAAACGACGAACAAGGCTGACGAGGCCAGCGCATGAACTAGAGGTCGTACTCAGTAGCATTGCCCAATCTCGTCTCTTCTTTTTTTCTTTTTATGGTTGACCGATAGTTGGGTGGTGGTTGCCAAAAACGACAACGGTGTCCGTCAAACCGTCCGCCGCGCCCCCCGTCTTCGCGTCTCATCCCATAAAGACCACGCAACCGCAAGGCGAGGCAACGCAACGCGTCTCTGCTCTCTCTCGGTCTCTCAGCCCTGAGAGGCCACACACTATTGCTTCATGCGCCTCAACACGGTCCAGTTACCGTATCGGGGAGGGGGGCGGCAACGCGCGGTCCAGGCCTCGTTGGGCAATCCCGGCTTGTCTGCTCTCTGTCTGCGGCTCGTTGCGAAACCCCACTCTATCTTCTCTTCTCTCTCTCTCTCTCTTTCGCTCCCGGCTTCCGTCTCGGAGACTCTCCATGGGAATGTCAGAAACAAGAGAGGGACAGAAAACCTTCCTGCCGCCCTGGGGCCCGTTCCGCGGCGGCGGCCGTTGGGAGTTGATGAAGTGAATTCGGGGACTTCTGCCGTGTGCGGGTTTCGAACAGATGCCGCCCGCGTTCGAGGTTACCGTTTGATGATGCTCATCCCCCTCCGCGGGACAATTGGAACATCAAACAAACTTCCATCTGACAACTCTCTCTGTATCTCTCACGAGAGATGCAGTGCGCAGCCTCCTCCCAGGGGGTGTGAATTAAGTCTGAATTATTATCTTGATCGCTTGCCACCCCCTCCCATCGTCTCAGCTTGCGCTAGTGGCCCGTTGTGCCATCCCATAGTTTGCGGCCCTACTTTTATTTTCCCTCCCCTTCCAGTCCCCCTCCACGTCGCGCCTCTACACTAACTAGCCCGTGTGGCCTCGCCAAACTTGATCGCTGCGGATCAAACAGGCGATGCTGGCATGATCTCTCTGCTGCCTCTCTCGTGCCTGACCCGAACCCCAGGCCAAGGCCAGGCCCCTGGGAAGGAGGGCGGCGATGCTGGTCCGCCCCCGGCCTTTCTTGCCCCCTGGGAGCGGGCGGTCCAGGCACGGACACGAAACCGGCGACATGCTGTTTCAGCATTCTGCTCGCCGACTTGGTCCGCGACGGCGTCGCCCTGGTGATTAAGTCCTATGTGCCTTTACCGCTATGTGAAAGTCATACACGCAAATGCCCAGCCCAAAACAACAGACGCAACGGTCTGAACGTGTGGTGATGCAAGTTGTGCCGAAGGAGGATTCCGCAACCAAGGCACTTCGTAACGACTTGGCGATACGATGCGATGCGATGCGACACACGATACCGAACCGGACGGACATCTCATGAGCTAATTCCCTACGCGGCACGGCACATCTCTGTGTCTCTTGTCTTCACTGACCGCATAGCGGCCCAATTTCCCTCCCTCTACGGCAGACCTTCCAACCCCCAACGGTCCGATGAGACGCAAGACGTCCCGCAAGCCCGAAAGACTTTTGAACCTTAACGCGTCGTCGTTGGCTGTTGGTCGGTCACCCTTCCCCGTTGGCCGCGCACCACACCGAACCCGCTGCGTTGGTAACTTCCTTCCTGCGTGCCGTTGGGGGCGTGAGTGTGTGGGAGGTGAGGGGGGGATGGTTCAAACTTTGTGCGGCTTTAGGTTGGCAGCTGTGACTCCGATCACGACAGATCATTTGTGGTTGTTGTCACAGAAAGGGGGGGGAGAGAGAGAAGGGGTATGACGACTTTGTGTCGTTGTGTCTTTCCTCTGGGGATGGTCCCGGTTCGGGCCATGTGCAACGAGATGTCAACGGGGTTTTCCCAGACGGAAGAATTAATCTTCGAGCTGTTCACGCGCGAGACCTGTGAAGGGGCACGGCACATGCAGTTTCGATATTGGCCCGTGATGGAAAGTCCCGAAGCCTTTTGCGCGCCCGCGGCCGCAGGTAGAAACGTACGTCCGGAAATGTACAAGTTCGCGCGCGATCAGCCTGCCGAAAGCGGAAACTCATGACCGAGAAGGCTCGCTTTGGTGGAGGCTTGCCGCTTTGAAGGGCATCGTTCTGTCTAATCCGCGCCCCCAAGAAAACGGCCGTGCATTGATCTTTCAGAGATTAAGTAAATTAGTTTGGGGGAGGGGAGGGGCACTGGGAAAGAGAAGGAATCTAGAACACCCGAGGCTGAGGAGGTTTAGTGAGGTTCGTTGCCGTTATTAGGCGCGCGACAAAGAAAAGTGACGGCTTCGGTGTGGGCTGTGCTTGGTTGGTGTTCGTGTTTGCTCTGTCAAAACCCTCGACCCGGACGGCGATCCGTAGGCGCCGGGATTCCGTGGGGGAATCGGCCCCGCTTTTAGGTTTGTGACCGGATGGTGCCGACGGGTGTTTGGTTCGTGTGGTGATCATTTGGCATGGTGTTTGTAGTTGAATGCCTCGTTCTTTCTTTGTGGTGAGTGCTATTTTGGATTTTGGATTACAAAAACAAAGGGGGTTTGTCCTCGTTGACAATGCTTTGTGGCGGAGTTGAATGTGATTTTCGACTACGACCGCAACGCGAGTACATGAGAGCGAGGTGTGATGAGAGGACGCAGAGACTGGTAGCTTGCCTAAACGTTGGACCAGATCTAGAAGAACGCAAAAGTTGAATGTCGCAGCAGGCGGGGTACAGATTGAGTTCCGGTGAATTTCTTATCTGGATATCGTGAGCTAGCAATTAAGCTTGTTGTTCTCCAAAATCCGGCACACCTTTCTGCCCTCCCCTCCGAGTCAGAGAAACGTTACTCGACAGAGTTTGGTCGGAGTAACCCTCTGACGGAGCAATCCGGTTGGAGGTATTTGGTTCGATGCAGAAGTATGCTGATGCGTATTGCGTGAAAGATGTTACTTGGACGGATTCAGCCTCTTGGACGTTTCCCGGGTGTTGCTGAAGCTGTGGTTCAAGGCTGCGTCGAACAATCTTGACGAAAGCTTGCGTTTCGTTTAATATAAGGGCGTCAGGTAACTTCCTTGAGCTTCGTTCTCATGGTGTAAATCGTATGTGCTGAAGAGTTGTGCGATTTTGAGCATCGCAATGTCATTCGTCATCTACGTATCCAGATGAAAGGCATCGCGAGGAAGGGGATCACTTGATTCACTTCCCTTCCTACGTATTTTTCTGTCGTCTCTTTGCTCCTCTTCAGTAGTACTTACGGGTGAAGCTTGGCTTTGCCTGCTTCTATCAACCGTGTTTGCGCAGCGAGAAACGAACGAAGCCATCATGTCACCATTGGGGGCCGTGTTATCTCGTGCAAGCCTTCTGCGAAGAACAGAAGCTGAGTTGGTGGTCTTTGGAGTTTTTCATACTCTATACCCCTACACGATCTTTTCTGGACGAAGTGCTTGAAAAGATTGAACAGAACGAAGTTCGTCGACCGTATCGATCTGCGCTTAGAAACAAACATTACATGCCCCCACCTATTGCATGCTTCTACGTCATCTCAGGAGGTCTTTAATACCCAGATATCTTGCTCGCCTTTGGTTTCAGCATTGACCTTCACCCGGTATTCACGATAACTGCGGCTTATTGACGAAAGCATTTGGCCGAAATGAGGACCTCAAGGCATGTCACCTGTCGATTATAACTCATTCAGTGTTCTTTGCCCAGAGACTAGACAAGATATTCGGGTGTCAATGAGGGCTACAATAAGTACACAGGGAATTGAAATTTGAGGTAGTAGCCTAAGATGTCATCAAAGAGAACGAATCGACGTGGGCCCTTTGAGAGTTAAACAGGGCCATCGGCCTGCTTTGTAGCCGGGTAGCGTGTTCAGCATACCAGGTCCCATTTTCCTTGAAATGATAGCTAGGCTGGTGCTTCCAAGCCAATATGAAGTATCTTGGTAAATCTGGTAATGGTTGGGGTAGCGACTTTGGACAGATGCCGCTAGATACGAGTGTTCAAAAGACATGGCCAGGATCTGCCATTGAGGCAGCAAGACAAGATACTAAAATTCCTAGCTTCTCAAGAAATAGAGAGTGTAGAGTCACATAGAACATGGAACACTATGCTCGAAGAGGCAAAAGAGAAGCAAAGGAAGTTGGATGCCTGTGAAGTACGTGTAGTCGGCTATGTGCTGAGCCAATGACCAAGCGTCATGAGCGCCCACTTGCACTGCCTACACTGAAGTCCAATACGTGAATTCGCGTATTGCAATAGCATCTTCCTCGTATTCAATGAGTTGTATTCTCAAATCGCCGCCGTGACGCACGGAAAACTGCAACAGCCCGCAACTTTAAGCAGACAAACTGGAATAGTATAGGATAAGATGGGCTATATCGCTTCAGTACAACATATTCATTTCCGTGGACAGCACGTCTTTCACCTCGATCACGAATTAACAAGCCTCTTGCGATGATATTCAGTCAACTTTGTGCAGTGGCTGTCGCTGCCACCAAGCTCGCAAACGCATCGGACTGCAAACGCGTAAGTACTTACTTGTGGACGTCCTAGACAAGCAATACAGAAACTAAAGACATCCGCTAAATGTGACAGGCACCCGGTGACTCTTGCTGGCCTTCGGACGCAGTGTGGACGGCACTGAATGAAACCGTTTCGGGAAGGCTTCTCAAGAACGTCCTTCCTGGGTCAGTCTGCTACAAGGACCAGCCAAGCTACGACGAAGCTGCCTGCCGGGCAGTTCTCTCAAGATGAACCGCAGCCGCCTTCCACTCATCTGAAGAGCCCACCCAGTAGGGGTTTTCACGGCAGGGGAAAAAGCAGTAAAAGCACCTCGGTCAGTGCCTAGTCCAGTAGCTTCGTAGTATACGTACCTAAGGGTCCGGAATAACTGCCCGCGCTGACCCTAACTCGCTATACTATTGTGGTAATTGGCCTTGTTGATGATGGCTTCGTTGCTAGCAAGGTTAACAGCCTCGCCTGCGTGACTCACGCAGAGACGGCTTCATAAGGTCTTCAGCCACGGAAAAGCTTGATACCATCTAATCTATAGCGTAAATCTCTGACTTCTATTAGGAGATCCTACTATTAGATAGCTAAATATAACACCTAAGTCTTCTTTAAGACTGCAGGCTCATCTGACAGAGTGTTTTGTGCCTTATCTCCTTCTAAAACTATAGAATAGTCGTCTTTAAAAATGTTTCCAATTTCCTCTAAACTCTTGCCTTTAGTCTGCAACTGAGTTAGCAATCTAAGGTGTAAAACACTATGCTTTATATGCTTACCTCTGGGAAGAAGACTGCAAAACAGACGCCAGCTATAATAGTAAGACTCATGAGAACCATGTAGTATTTCCACCCAATCTTGTCGAAAGCAGTGGGCGATACAGTGAGCAAGACTAGAGATGAAACAAACATGCCAGATGTCGAAGCCGCCGCTCCCTTGGACCTTACATGGGTAGGCCAGATCTCAGAGGCATATACATATGTCGAGGCATCGAGAAAGCCGCCGTAGCTAGTGAGTAATGAAAGCATAGCAGTTAGCACATCGACTTGAAGTATTTGTTACCGCAACAGGTGGAAATTGCTCACAAAAAGAGATGCAAGAACAGGAAAGCTAAAGCTGCCCCGTTTCCAGCCCGATTTTCAGTCCCCTGATAGAGATGGATCATAATAGCCTCGCCTAGTAATGCAACAGAAGTACCAGCCATTCCGATGGCTTTACTCAAAGCACGTAGTCAGTCGTTTGGCGCCTCATTCCGTGTTGACAACATGCAGAGGTACAGTGGTAGTAGATATGCTTTACTTACTCATGCAAATTCTTCTTCCTACCCAATCCAGCATCTTGGCGTTGAGATAGTTGCAAAATACGCCAAAGGTGATCCACCCCGCAGCCACAATGAGCTGATTCTGCTCAGAGAAGCCCATGCTGGAGTAGAGACTAGGCCCGTAGTCTATGCAAAGGGAACAAAAAGTCAGAAAGATTTAGTATTTTGCGTGTTGAGATGTGATTTCGACTTACTATTGATGACCTGGGTTCCGGTGCACTGAGCGCCAAACATGGTCCCGAAGCCAACAAGCAGGCGTTTTCGGTAGGAAGGGACCTTAAAGAGCGAAGCCCATGACGTCGGATGGCAGCTGTCAGCCTCGATTCGATTGCGGATAGCGTTGAATTCCTCCTGTACGTATCCATGGCTCTCTGGCGCGCCGTTGCCGTGAAGCTTGTCGAGGATGAACATGGCCTCCTGGTGCCTGTTGTTGGCGATGACTGGCGCAAAAGGTATCAGCTACGAGGACGTTGAGATGGAAATTGCAGAAGGGCCGACATACACCAGCGTGGCGACTCCGGCAGCCATTTGATTCCAAGAACCAGGGCAAGTGGGGGCAGTACTTGAAACGCCAGAGGAACCCGCCACTGAGCACCATGAATATTGACAAAGTAGAAGGCAACGCCAACCCAGCTGGCGAGTGAGTATCCGATGAGAATGAAGACGCCTGGGTTATAACGAGCTAGTGTTTAGTAGCAGGCATAAAACTGGTTCGCTAGAAGACTTACCATGTAGTCCGACGAGAAAACCTCGAGTGGCTGGCGAGGCGACCTCGCTCTGCCAGACGGGCACTGAGATGACTAGTCCACCTGAAACTTTGAGTAAATATTACCAAAACACCGCATACGCTGTGAATACATACCAATGCCCAGGCCGGTGATTGCCCTTGCAACCATCAGCATCCCGATGTGGGCTGAGCCGGCCTGAAGAGCACCGCCAAAAACGCTGACAAGAGAGTAGAACCCAATCGACATCTTGCGGCCATACGTGTCAGAAGCCCAGGCGGTGGAGAGAACTCCAAACAAGCCGCCCGCTTGATACAGACCGTTCAATCCTCCGGTGATGGCTGCCGAAGAGTCCGCGTCAAGTAAGTCGAAGTATTCTCTAAAGGTCGGCTGCCCGAGAGTCGTTGCGATGATGCCCGTGGAGTATCCATACGTCAGACTTCCCAGCGTTGCAAACAGGATGATCTAAAACGGCTTTAGTATTAGATAATTTGCAAGGACACGGGCGCTTGGAAGTAACAGGGTTCAACTTACAGCTAGGTTGTACGAAGTTTGATGGTCCGCCATAGTGTAAGCTACACTTAGAAGCCAGGTGATGATGAGACAAGGAAGAGATGCAATAGCGATTCTCGAATTGAAACTACGCAATTACGTAGGTGTCATGGTGCTGACCTCCATTTATGTAACTGAAGTCAGCTGCAATTGACAAGAAGGTATCGCCCACAGACTTTGATAACAAAACTGCAGCATGACTTTGGACCTCCTAGACGACACTAATCATGATGCTTATCCTGCCGTTACGACGCGATAGCGACAATCATCATCAAGGGGCAAAGAAAGTAAAAAGGAACAGCCCCAAACCATGCTCTCTCCCAAAGCCACCAATGAAAGTGACGAGTCCAACCCCAGCCAAATTGAACACTGGGATAACAAAGGGCTTTGCTTTGCCGGATAAGGGTCGACAGGCTGATTGGTCTCCGGTATTTTCTTTCTGCAACCAGCTGTGTTCGTGGCAACCCAGAGTGCAGATTGAGCTGCCACCTATCCGGGTGGAAGCCTATCAACTATCCGGACGACTGTTACCCGGATCTGAGTTCCCTGGGGAAACCCACTATTAATCACTGAAATAGAAAGAACTTACAGAAACTGGAAAGGAAACCTGTCGTTCTAAGTCTAGAGAACGCAAGATAAGGATTTTAATACTTATGATATAAGGACTATTTTATGTAACCCTAGATAGTGTGAACTAAACGACGCTGTTATCTATATTAGCGTATAATATCTAGACACCTATTCCCTAAGATATGCTAAGACCCTACTTTAATACTATCCTATAATAAGATCTTATATTTCTAAAAGAATATTAGTATTTTAGGTCTTATATTAAGTAATACTATTTATATATTTCTATTAGCTTTAAATTTATAAAAGCTTAAATATTAACCTTAAGTAACTTATTAAAATAGTATTTTAAAGTCTTAATAACTATAAAAGTATTAATATTAGTTTAATAAAGCTTAAAGTACTTTATAAAACTTTAAGTTAATAAATAACTATAAAATA